ACAATGTTTCATTCAGTTTAAAATCTCCTTAGAGTTAAATACGCATCAAGTTACTTTTACAAGGTTTAATTTGATTCTGGAAATCTGCGAAAATGCCTCGAAATTCTGCTGTTAGTGTTGAAGAGCTTTTTCAAATTTTGCATGATAAAATCATTTATGATGATCACGGTAAAATACTCTCTAAATCAAGTGATATCTGGAAGAAAGCCAGCTCAGCTGTCAACAACGTAGTCAGTGCATCTATAATCTATTTTAATGTTGCACAAAATTGGAAAGATTTGAAGCATAAAATAGATGAATATCAATCGCAGAACAGTAAGAATCCAGAAAATTATACAGCAGAACAAAAAAAATTTATTAATAATTTTGAAATATTATCATTTAACATTAGCTTTGTGGGTCAACAAATAGACAAAATCAGACCACAGCTTAATAAAAATAATGTAAAAGTGTTGCCGAAAGGCTGGACTCATTTTGTGGCTGAAAAAATTTGGTTGTATAAAAATATTCCCTGCGCATTTTCATTTAAAAAAGGATATGTTTCCAAAATTAATGGAGATATCCGTTTCTATGGAAGTTGTCATGAGTGTGGAAATACAGTGTCAGGAGCCAGTATTATAACTTTGAGTGATTATGTTTTTAATATTTCTACTCATGATTCCAGAAAAATTCAACATTTCAAAAAAAGGCATCTTTCAGGCGTTCTTAGAAAAGACGCTCAAAAAGAACTGTTACATACCAAAGCTTTAAAGTATAGAAGAGAAGAAGCACAGGAATTTATAACTTACGGTAAAGTTGAAGGTCCACTGGTGCATACAACTCCTGTTTTACGGAAAACTCGACAAGAAGCTATTTTTAAAAAGTATAATGTTCCACAAGTTACAAACGTTATCCAAGCCATAGTGGACATGAAAATGCAAAACAAGTGGGATAAAATTATTCATCAAATTGGTGATTTTCCATTTTCAGTCATTTTCTGGACACCTGAACAGCTAGATTTATGGAATGGTGTGAGAAATATAAAGAATATATCTGTTTCTATTGATGCAGCTGGACTTTTTATAAAGAGAATTTTTGCAGATGGTGAAAGTACGTCTCATATCTTTTTATACGTCATGAGCAAATCACTTGGGAAAAAAATATATCCTGTTTTCCAATTCGTATCAGAATATCACTCAGCTATATTTTTAAAAGATGCTTTTACGTTTCGGATAGAATCTGGTGCATTAAAACCTAAAGAAGTTGTGACTGATGGATCCAAGGCCTTACAGAATGCCATTTGTATGGCATTCAACGATTGCTCTTTAAAGCAGTATTTACATGATTGTTTGAATGTAATTACAAGTAAAAGTAAATTAAATGTATCATGCTTTTTGAGATTGGACATTGCACATCTCATAAAGTCAGTTACTCGTTGGAAATGTTTTCAAAAATCCAATAATGATAATTGCAAAGACTTTTATGCACGTCTAGTTGGATTTCTCAGTAAATGTAGTGTATATGAGAACTTTAAAAAAATATTCAAATCTATCATGATTGTTTGCCAAAGCCCTGGAATTCTCCAACAACCTGTAGTTCAAGAAAATTTGAACGACCTTTTAAGATTAATAAAAGATCAATCGTGTTCATACTGTGAACCAAATTGTTCTTGTGACTTTTGTAATGAGGAAAGGCCTGTTAATGTTGACTTTAAGGAAATTAAAAGTAACCTAGCAGATAATCCATTTCTCAAAGAATTTAAAACCATAAAAAATGAAGCTAAAAGTTTTGCTTGTAATACTGGAGAGAACAAATTTTTCTGTCCCGAATTTGCACAAAACTTTACTATTCTTTCTGCAGATTTAGTATTTTGGACAAACATAATGACTAGATATTTTGATTCTGAAAACACTATTGCCTCTTCAGGACGTTCAGAATCTTTGTTCTGTGATTTACGACACAACGAATATTAGTAGACCAGTGTCCGGTCACTTATTTTTATCTATGTACACTGAATTTTTGGATGGATCACTGAGATTAGCTAAAGCTTTTTTGGAAAATAAAAACCACATAATCCCAGTAGCGGAAATGAATGATCTTAAAAGTATGTATATTGATAGTCCTAAAAAAAATATTTGTAAGATGCGAGGTAAATTTTTAGAGCCTCAAAGTGATATACTTATCAAATACAATAGACCAAAATTCAAAGTACCTGTTGATTTATTAAAAAATGGAATATTACAAAATGCCATCATTCATAACGAAGAAATATATATATACAAAAGTACTTGTCTATTCGACTCGATTTTTGAATTGTGTAACCATGCTTACCGTAATTATGTTGATTTCAAAGTTGCAACCAACAATTGTTGTTTAAATCATGATTGTTTTGCAGCTCGTTTAATAGAATTTATAACTAATGGAAATGAAAAAGAAATGTATGAAAAGAGATTTTTAATTTGTAAAGAATTTTTTAAGTGTGAACAAAATATTTTATATTATGACCAATCAATCGGTAGTTTCATAAGTAAGATTTAAAAAGATTGTGTAAAAAACTTATTTTATATAAACCTTAAACCGCAAATTCAATCGGAATCAATGAATATCAAAGAAATAAATACGTATATTAATAACTTTCTATACAATGTGACATTAGAATTAGCATTTTTTCTATTTATTGATATTGAAAAATTCCATAATAAAAATAGTTATAGTTGTATTCCAACGAAGATAATAATAAGAAATAAAGTATATATGTTGGTGGGAGTAATTGAACGTAAAAAATCTAATTATAATCAAAAGTTTTTTCACTACACAAGTTACTGCAGAACATTGCAAAATAATTGGATTTTAAAAGATGACTTGTTGAAAAAAAGTGTGTTCATGAAAAAAAAAAACGATTGTTCACTTGAAATTACAATAATTATGTTTGTAGAAGTAAAGAGTTTATAACTAAACAATCAACAAAATCTAAACGGTGTTAATTTATTTTTTAAATCCTAGTAATTGTATAACCATATTTTTCTATTAAGTATTTTCGTAAAAAATTTTTTTTATGCAAAAGTACAAAAGAAATTTTATTTCTGGAAATACCACAGCGTCCTCTCTAAACATCACTTATTAAATTTGAATCAATGATTCATTGAGGTTAATATGTAAATTTGGTATTATCGAAACCCGATGAAAACTGACAGTGCTAAATGACTGTTCTATTTCACCGAAGCAATCTTCATCATCTCCTGCATCGTTTATTGCTACCTCCACTTCCATGTCGTTGTCCATCACCAGCCATACCTTTTCTTGGTTTGGATCCTGTCTTTATCCTACCACTAGGCTAACATGACCCGCAAGTTGTGCTGCAGTTGATATAAGTCCTAAAAAAGTTGTTATGAGTGTACGGATAGTGGAACCAAAGGACATAGTGTACTGTTTACCTAGAGTCGTACATGAATAATGTTGTATACTCATACCTTATTTATTATAAAATATAAATACCATAGTTGTCATCACTGCACTCAGCCATACCTTTCAGTTGTGCCAAAGTTGATGTGTCCTGAAAAGTTGACATGAGTGTGAGGATAGTCAAATGGGAGTTCATTGTCTTGCTTACCTATACAGTCATACATAGTTTATGTTATTATATACTAATACCAAGTTTATTATTATATGAAAATACCATTGTTGTCATCATGGTGTTAAAATCTGTTCATGTAATGTTATTGAGTAGGTCCTTAAATTTTTTTGGTTACTGTTTTGGTATGGCACACTTAATGGGCTTTCAACGAAGATGCATGATGAAAAGGGTTCCGAAGTAAGATCTACAACTTTTATGAAAAAAAAAAAGATTGTATGGCAGTCATTTATAATGGAATCATAGCTACTAACTAAGTGTACGCCAACTAGAAATAAAAATCTCTTGCATGAGTTGGCAATTTTTGCAAAAAGGAAAATATACGTTATGGAAGCTTCTATACTAATAAATTATAAAAAACTGAAAATGAAAAATGAGTTATACTTAAACAAAATTCACTGCACTACAAGTTCCCCTTTCAGCTGTTGTTGATGTAATGAGGAAATGTCATCAAGCATTGATCCACTGGACATCTAATCCTTCTGAAATTATTATTTAGCACAAAGTAAACATACTTATAAATAAACGCTTTAAGGGAAAAACAGCATTCATAAATTTAATGAAATGATTCAACAGCAACGTGTATAAATTCCATCAGTTTTTTGATTAGGTACTTGAAGAGGTTTAGATACTCATACTAATAGACAGTACTAGACTGTTTATTCAATTCACGACAGAGTTTTGTTATTAAAATACTTTCTATACTTATCTGATTTATAGGTTAATTTACAGCTAACTGAACGAGACATCATTAACGTTGCACCCGTACTTCTCGATGCTGTTGTTTTCGTCAACTCAACCCTTGTTTTAATAAAAACAAAAAATTAAAACATTCTGTTTTAATGACAAGTTGCCGACGAATTCGACGATGTAAACACATTAAAGGATGCATTCCACTGGCTTTATTCCGCAAATGCTGCCAACAGTTAAGTTACGTAGGTCGTGGTAACGCCGCATGGTCGGGCAGCGCTAGCGTCAACCTGTACTAACTGTCGGTGGGTTTCGCTATTCCGCATGTCAACAAACTCCGAAATATCGGACCGACTGACCCACTGGGGTCGTATCATGTAACTATTTTTCAGTACATCGGCCTATGTCATAACATAGGCCTGCAAAGCAAAAAAATGTTATATGGTACGGACCCTGACCAACCGATCGCTAAAAAAACGTACCCAATATTCATAGCTTCGTAGGGCCTTTGCACGCAAATGCGATAAGAGCGAGGAATAAGGAAATAAGAGGAATAACGTATTGATGTACTACACTTTTTTGAAATATAAGTTGGGGTAGTCGGCTTGATCTTTTAGAAAAAGTATAGTTGATAAATATGTTATTCCTCTTATTCCCGCTATTATTTCTGTCATTCCCCTTATTCCCTTAACGAGAATAAGAGCAAAAAAATAATGGGAATAACAGCGGCATAACGTACTGATGTACTATACTTTTTTGGAAACATGCTGTCAGTCCCGACGGATATTTTCAAAAAAGTATGGTTCATCAAACATCAATACGCTATTTCGCTTATTCCTCGCTATTATCGCATTTGCCTGTAAAGGCCCATATAGGCCCCTAATCAACTGCCTGAGACCAGATCCTTCTTGTGTCGGCGAGTGATACACTCATTACTGCTTAAGGAGCCCTCTGAGTGATCGAAAACGACTGTATCGATTGAGTCATAAGTCAACATAGAAGATCGGGCCCTTGGTCCTTGCCGTCCTTGGCCTATTTGAACGCAATCATTCAAATGTCAATATCGAACACAATTATCGAGAGTCGAAGTCACAGGGATTCCAACTTTGCAATGGCTTGATTGCAGTTTGATTGCAAAACTTGGCATGTAAATTGCTATCTGTCATAAATTATAGCTTTTTGAAATCAAAGTAGGCATCCGCGAGAGACTTATTGCATTGATGGCTGCAAAACAAAGCAAGTATAGTACTAATACTGGAACAGTGATTGAGCATGTAGGCTGTTAGTGGCAGCTGCTTAGCAAGTTTATCGTGCTCTAGTTGAACTATTCAGATTGCTTGCCAAGTTTTACTGGGATCGCTCATACGGCAACGACGCAGTTAACAACTGGCTCTTGCAAGAGCCCATGGGCCTATTCTACTACGAAGGCTTCTGTGTTGCTTGTACTTTGCCCTTGCTTTTTGACGAAAAGCGATGTTCGTACCTTAGTATGCTCCAAAAATATTAAAGTAGGAGGACAGAACTCATTTATTTTGATAAGTTTTCATCGATGTTTGATTTTAAAAACAAAATTTTTCCAGACTATAAACTCATACCGGTTCTAGTTGGCGATAATGTAAAACTTTCTGTCAAATGGGTAATATATTTGAAATCAATTGGCCTTACTTAAAAATGTATTATTAGATTACTATTTTAAGAATTAACATTACATTGCCTTATTGAAGGTATATAATAAGATTTTTATATAGGACTGTTGAGCCATACGTTTTGACGGACCACAAGGAGCTACTGCTGGTGATACTAGATGGTATGGCTTCGATTCAAGGCATGTGGAGGACGGACTGTTGTTGTACGTAATGACACAGTTCTTTTAACTTATGGTAAAAATCCAAAACATTAAGGATGATACAATGAAGCCTGAATTTGGGAGCTGTAACTGTACTTTTCAAGATCTGTCGCTGTCTCATAAGCAATTTCGTCCAGATGATGCAGACTATATTCAAAAGATGAAATTATGTTTTCGGGGACCATAAACAGTTCATGCAACTCAATTCGGTTTGAATTTACGCATGCAAATAAGATGTAACATAAATTAAGAAAAAAAAAAAAGAGAAAGGTGTCACATGTGTAATACAAAACCAACTCAAATGTTATAATTAATACTACTACTAGTTCATCTAACAATTCACAACTGTAAATAATGATTATATAGACTACTGAAAATTAGTATTTGTACACAAATTCTACAAATTCCTCAGATTATTTATCGTATTGTTTTCTTGAAAAATGACTATATTTATGAATACGTGATAATGTTTACTTAATTTTTTTCAAACAATTAAATTAAATTGTAGTATGAGATTGTAATGAAAATAACGCCTTTGAAATAAAAAATTAAAAAGTATAATTCAGCTTTTAACATACATCAAAACGGCAATTTGATAACAACTTCGATTAGTTACATTTTGCACATGATTTTCATTAAATACTGACCTTACTTCAGTTTTCATATCATCAAATTCTTCCCACGTGTTATTACCTTTATAAAATAATGTAAAATAATGTGAAATAACATTTCCTTCTCCTCCTTCCAATGCTATAAACCCTGCCAAAGAAAAATTGTTATTCTGTATGAACAGATGCTTCGGTATTTCACTGAGTCTATTATTGGGAGATAAATTAATGTTTAAGTGAGAATATTGATGACTTTTTCCCAAACGAGCAATCACATCATTTCTATAACAGTCTTCAAGATCAATAAATATATATAAATTAAATTTGTAACGTAATATAGCTGAATTTTTTCTACACATTAAACAGTACATTTTTTGTCGCTCTTTTACGCTTTCATTAACTACTTCTTGTAAATCTTGTAACCCGTTTGTTACAAATCTTAACCAATTAACATTTACTATTGATATGTTTTCTCTTTTCACTTCTTTTTCGCAATTGGTACAATATAAAAACTCTATATTCGCACAAGTAGACTTCATAAGTTTTGAAATTAATGAGCTCATACTGTATGCACAATCAAATTCGGTAAGATTTTCGAACTTTCTATTTTTTGATTCGAGCATTATTTCAAACCGTTTTTCATTCAAGAAATGAATGGAGCATTTATTCATTATGTAATCAAATATCAATTTGAATATATTTAAACTATCAGTGGTTATTGTTTCATCATACAATAAATTTTTTATATTCGTCAGTTTGAGTACAGCTTGGATAATGAGTTCCAAAAAACTATCTATTGGACAGGTGTTATAAACATATATACTCTTTTTTTTATAATTCAATGCCTTATTTCCATTTCTTAAAGAGTTGTGTTCTAATAAAGCAAAAATGTCAATATTATAAAATGGTAAACTAAATGACGAAATATTAATAGTTTCTGTTAGCAAGTTATCAGTCATCGACGTACTACTATTATCGTCTAAAACTGAGTGAGTACTTTTAATGGCAGATGATAAATTAATTTGCAAAGTATTATTATCTGCTGGTAATTTATCACATGGAGAATCCAATGGAATGTTTTCGACTTGTATATCTGTATCATTATTTAATGTATCTTCATATTGAAAATTATTCGTGTTGTCATGCTCAATCTCTATTTCACTGTCTGAAATATTTTCTTGTAATTCAAAATAATCATATTTTTCTCTACCTTGGCCCATCCAGTTTTCTGATTCGAACAAGTATTCATCAAGATTAGAACTACAATATTTTTCTACTGCAGGCAATTGGCCAATTACATTATTTTTATAGTTTTCATCTATTTTTTGAACATACATTTCAAAAAACTTATCAACGTCTAATTTGTTACTTAAAAATGGTTGTGAAAACTCTGAATAATCAAGTGGTAAATTGACAACACAATTGTTTTTAAATAAATTGCCCCACAGTGGAATGTGAGCACACAGGGTAATAAAATTATCAACGAATTTTGGGCACGCCAACGCATTGGGCAAATCGCAATAAGTAGTTCCAGAACTGCAGCGGTTATTCGCGCTTTCGGAAATATTTTGAAATAAATTTAATATCGCATTGGGTATCACGACTAAGTTAACAATATCATGGAATTCGCTTGCATTTTGAATTTGAAGTGAAACTTCTTTAAAATTACTAAGTAAAGACTGTCTGTACTCCCTACAACAATTATTTTCGCTTTCACTTTTTAACAAAACTAATATTTTTTCGATATTCTCCTTTAACAAATCCCAGTTATCAATCATGCTTAAGTAATGTATACAATGTTTGTAAAAATCTTTCACACCCATGACTTTGAAGCAATCTAAATTATCCAACCAATTCATCACATGAGTGATATTTATTTTTAAGATAGTGTATGGAAACAATTTGAATTTTTGTTTCTGAATCAAAAAATTAAAGCAAAATGACAAATAATATGGATAACTTAAAGATGAATTAAAAGCACTACAAGTTCCTAAAATAACATTTAATGTGCATGCACAATAAATTTCTTTGGGTTGAGTAGCACCAGATTGAAGCCATTTTGATAGCCATAAAAAAATTTTTTTTTCTTTTTCACTCAACATTTGGCAAAGAGAAAAAATAGTGTTTTTCACTCTACAGACAACAATATAAAAGTCAACACTACTACTTTTGTAATCTCCAATAACTACTTCGTTTGTACAGTTCTTAAAAACTAAAATTTCCATAGAAGACACATTTTTATACTGATTACGGTAAAAGACAACTTGTTCAGGACTCCAAAACATAAGAACAAAGTATAAACAGTTAGTTAATCGAAAAAATTTCCTGTATACTATGTCTTGTCGCATTGCACGTAATTTTAACATCATATTATCTGAATTTTTTACATCACCTTGATTGTCATTTTTATCATCAAAATAATCAGAATCACAGCTGTCATTTAAAAGCTCATTTGGCTCTATCAAGTTAGATCCTTTTTCCAGAGCAACTATAGCACTTTCTTGATTGGTAGTTACACTTATTTTGGTTTCACGTGAGCGTTTTTCTCTTTCAAAATTCAATAACTTATCTCTTACATTTTGTCTATTTTGATTAACATATTCAAATAAATTTCTTTTTTTTAAATCTAGTTCTGTGCCGACTGCATGCCACACAGTATTTGATTCTGGTAATAATTTTTCATTACAATCGAATAAATTGTAGTTTCTTAAAACGTTCAGTCTAAATTCATGATCAACAGCTCTTTTTACAGCTGGCATGGTGCTCCTTTACTAAAAAAAAATTATAATTAATCCAATTTTTCTTAATTAACTCTGCTTCAATGTTGAAATCACAAAATACCTTTGTACTCAATTATGCAGAGGGAATATTAGTAAAAATACAATTTTTTATCAAATTCACTAACTGACTGATTTTCACTGTACATACAGAAAATGGCAGAGCCAATCAGCACCACGTGACCCTATCTGCCGCCAGAGATTAGTTGGGAGATTGCTGACTGCCATGCTACGGAGTGTGCCCACTTTTTTCCAGTGGTTCGAGCGCCCCGCCGCGGCCAAGCGGCCGAACCAGGCGCACATTTTTTTTTTTATTTGAGCAGCACGGTAGGGGTATGAGNGAGAGGCCAGTAAGCGCCTCGGGTCATTGGGTGATAGGCGCTTGTGTTAATAATTAATACTTTATTATTTAATAGAGAGGCCAGTTAGCGCCCCGGGTCATTGGGTGATAGGCACTTGTGTTACAATTTTACAATTTTTAATTTCCGCGCGTCTTTGGCAATGCCCCTTCACTGCTGTGCTGTCTGCTCGATGGAACATTCTCCCTAGATCGTATAGCTATATATACGATCTAGGGAAAAAGTTCCGACATTGAATCCGGCTAACCGGATAAAGAGTTACGGATTCTAATTAAGATGATCGGCTCACTAAAAAGGATTTGATATTAGCAAAAAGAATTCTTGACTTTAGACAACCATGTTACTACTCTGTATTTCTTGCTCTTGTTCCCGTTATTTTTATTATTTCCCGCGCTTACCCATGGTGTAACATGTGCCGGTGGTCCCATTGTTTAAATTGCCTACAGTCTACAGTAAATTTTTGTGAACATTTTATGGCACTTACCACGGCCTCGCACCAGGTATCGCATAGATGATGAATAATAAAAAAAGTATAAGTGTATATAGTAGTCAATTAGATTTATTGGCTTTAAAAGGTAGTTTACACAACCAGTATAAGTATATGTGGTGTTCGAATCTTATTCGCCATCTGCTGGAACTTCAAAGAAACAGCACAATTTCACAAAAATTATGCCTACATGGTACATGGGACCACACCACATCCACATGTAAGACTTGTGAAGCTGGCGCCCGTAAATATTAAATATTGGTATTTTGCAACCATTCGAGGCTTAAACGATTCCTCCTCACTTGCGGATTTATCCTCCACTTGAATTTTTATTCGCGGATCAATAGTTTGCGAGATATTTGCAAAATAAAAAGTCGAAAATGGGCGCGGCGCTAGGAGATGAAATCTATTATTACAAGTAGTAAATAATGCTGAAAATAAATGTTACCCACATCATTCGATTCCTCCTCACTTGCGGATTTAGAAAATGTTAACGTTTGTTGAGATTAATGTTATAAACATCGGAAATAATGATTTTATTATTTAATGAAAACGTATATCAACCGGTCCCCTGTTTCGTATGTTCCAGTTCCGTTCCCTTTGTTCAGGCGCCAAAAGTAAAATTGTAAAGTCAGTAAAATCATAAAAAAAATTTACACAACAAAAAGGGAGAAAAACAATGAATCGTTCTTTCTTTACAAGCGGATTCTAAATAAAAACTATGTGATCTAATAGACAAATTTTGTATAAGTATTATTTATTATGATAAATTTATTAACGGGACTATATAGGTATATATTCATATGGATACAAGTAATCAGCTTGGCATTTGGTGGTTCAAAGCAAATTTCTGAAGGCAGCATCCTTTCTAATTTACCTTTTCGGTGGACTCTAGTTTACTTAAATTAAAAAATGTCAATGCTTGAGTACTTTTTTTTATTGTTGCAGTAACGTTACTGCTGCTGTGCTGAACAAAAAATAAAAACAAAATATGTGTTGTATCAGTAAATGAGGTTAAGTTATTATAAACATACTCTGATTTTTTTTTTCACACAAAAAATTGAAAGAAAATAAGTCAACCAATGAACGGAAACAAGAATAATAGACATTTCAAGTTTGGTAAGGCATCGTGTGAAACAGCTGGCTAAGCTGGCATACTTGAAACTTTGATTTCAAAAGTATGTCTTGTCCAGCTGTATATTTCTTTTTTATGGACTCAAATATAGAATGTGACAAGTTACCAAAGTTAGTATACTGTCAATGAGAATATCAGACATGCTTGCTATTTTTTATTGCTGTACTTCATTCTTATACTTTTCCATTTTAGTGTCATTTCTGTTGTTTGAGAAAAAAAGTCATTGCTAAAGAGCATGATGCAATTATTGTTGTTGTAACCAAGGACACGGTTTGCGGTAATACATCCGCAGTACTACAAAGTATTTTTTTCATTTTATCCAAGTTGTTAAATCAACTCAAGTAACTTCTTATTTTCAGATGTATCGATGGAGCTTTGAATTTACATGGGGAATTCAGTTATTTGTAAATTGACGTTAATAAATAAAAATGAGTGTTTTGTTTACACTTTATCAACAAATGCAGCTCATGTAAGATTTTTTTACCAAACGCACTTGTATAGCTTTCCATATGTGCTCGTCTTATACAGATTCGTTGGCGAAGTTGGAATACATATAACTGTCGTATAGGAATCTTAGCTGTTTTTTGACAAAAACAAATTTTATATATTTATATTTTATAACTGNGAAAAACTCGTATCGTCGCTTGCTTTGGCTGTGCGTTCAGATATATACAGCTATATAGCCGACATTTCCACTCCTCTCCTCGTAGGCGCACATTCGGTATACCCCTTCCACGCGTCTCCAAAATGTGCGCCTATATGGACATTTCCACGCGAATCCACTCTTCTCATACCCCTACCGTGCTGCTCAAATAAAAAAAAAAATGTGCGCCTGGTTCGGCCGCTTGGCCGCGGCGGGGCGCTCGAACCACTGGAAAAAAGTGGGCACACTCCGTAGCATGGCAGTCAGCAATCTCCCAACTAATCTCTGTCTGCCGCACTGTTGCTCGACCCACTGTATGCAGTAATCTGAATCAGCGCCACCAATGAGAAAAAATGTTCATACTTACTCACAAGATATGTTATACTTTTTATAGGGAAATTTTTTTACGTTATGAAGTTGAATAAGCAGTGTCTTTTAGTTAATGAAAAGTAATACTTAGTGCTAAAGAAATTTGTCTTTATTGTATGGTAAAGATTCGTTATTGATAAAAAAAAAACAAGATAAAAAGTTGTACGTATTCCGGTAAGGCGGTAAGAGGCTATGTCGTCCTTGTGAATAAGTATCACTGTTTTTCCCATGCAGATGGCGTTATTTTAAAAAGCTGCATGAAGCTGACGAAGCAAATAGCATGCCTTTTTTTAAAACTTCAGAAAGACGCCTTTCAAAAAAAAAGTTATTTGCGCTGATTTTTAGAACAGAAATAAGAACTAATGGGGCTTATTCCTCCGTCAGGGGCGCTCGCCATCACAAAGGGGGCAAAACGTATATTTTGTATATCTATATTTATACATGCTGCGTGCGCAATAATAAATATACAAAATAGATATACAAAATATACATTTGCCTCCTATCATAGGGGCCCTATGTGATGGCGAGCGCTCCTGGCGGAGGAATAAACCCCATGTTACGCGATTGATTTGTTCGATGGGCACCGGGTAATGAGGTACTTCCTCCGAATCGGAAAAAGGTAGTAGCAACCTGCAACCATTGTTCGTAACGGACCGAATGAGGCTTATGATGACGGTCATGATTCATGATATAAGAGGGAAATGATGCAGCATGGTGGGCCGACCGGATAACCAATCGACCGAACAAAAAAAAACGTATCCAAATTGTACAAAGTACGCCTTGTGTACAGCGCAGTCTCCAGAACCCAGAACAGTGTACTGAGAACACTGAATGGCAGTATGGCAGACCAAGATCTGAGGCCCGAGGGTACGTCGAAAACTTAAACCAGCCACAACTCTAACAAAAGTTATGAAACCGCGTAATTCTAAGAGACCTATTTCTATCATATTTCATTCTTGTAAAGAGTTATTTGGGTATTGAATAGTGACACGTGGTCAATTTTACAAATTTGCGACAACCTAGACCAACGGATAGAAAACAAAAAGTTGTCCCAAGGAAGTGCTAAAAATATATTTGCGGTTAAAATAGAAATCATTTTTTACCCAAAAATCAACCTCCAAAAAATGGATCCCCGACACCAAAGTAAAACCAGCCGCATCCTTACCAGTTAGTTTTTTACAATAATTTTTAACTGAAACCAAAGTTACGGCATTTTTAGAATTTAAGAAGGGTCAGAAAATGATCTTTCCGCACCGATTATTTAACGCTAATCTTAATTCATTTATCCATAGATACTCATCTAAGATTATAGATAAGGCATTTATAAATAAGATATACCGAACGTAAAGCGTGGAATTCAAATCAGGTCTAACATCACAAGCGCCTTCAACCAAGTCACCCTGCATTTTCATAATTAATAACATATTACTAGATGACCGAGGGTGTTTACTAAACAGTTTATTAATAACATAATAACTAATTAATAATACAAGCCCTTATGACCCTGTGATCCGAGGTGTTTACTGGAAAGTTTAGTTTTAATAGGCTACTCGCCATTGCGTAGCATTTCCCCGAAGACTCCGTATTTCAGGATATCCACTCCTTGTCAGTTAAGCTGGAGCTCTGTCGAAGCATCGGATCCAGGCTAATTAGCATCCCCGGAGAAGCCCCATGTTTCAGGGACCACTACTTGCCGGCAAAGCCAGCAATCCCTTCTTGGCGCCTGGCATCGGAATAGCTAATCCATACCTATTAGGATTATGCCTCTACCACGTGACCTCAGTATATATATGACTAATATAGAGGAGAAATAACACAGGTCTTATGGGAGGAATCTTGTTTTTATTTTTTTTCGCACTTAAAAATATTTTGAGCTTAAAAAGGTTGTTAATTCCATGTTACTGACATAATGAGAGTTACGTAGTTATTTTTTTCCTTTGGTGAATTCGTTTATGAAGGTTGAAAAAGCGTTTAGAACGTATACGGAGTGCCGTTAACCTTACTTTAAGCTGTTTGTTTCAGCTGTTGCTGCTGCTGCGCTACTGCTGCTGATGCTCAGAGATAAATATATTTTGCCAATACCTCTTTTTCCATCAGGCAACAAAGCCTATGGTCGCAACTATGATGACTGACAGAGAACACAGTATAGGTCTGTTCAGTCTGTTCACTGAATTTGAGTTTAGCGGAACAGTGGAACCCCCTTTTTAATATGAACGTTCACATTGAATTAAGCCAAAAATGTCTATGTGAACAGCTCCAAAGTTTTTTTCCTCCGAATTAGGAGATCAAAGATAGTCTTTATAAGAACGTTGCACCAAAGGTAGTTTTCTTCCGGCTTTGTACGCCAAGATTATTTTCGTCCGAAGCGTCGATATCTCTATATGTCTAAATCAATAAATATTATAAACATGAACAGTTACGTCCCCGCCCATGCTGTATCTCTATCTTGCTCAGACTTTCCATGGCTGAAGCCTGGCAGCCCTGCATACCTACCGCCATCTGTGGGCAACCAAGGAGAAACAATATGCAATGTTGCCATTCCAGAACAGTGCCGAGAATCACATTCACTCGGGTATACATGACGATTCAAAAAAAGCAAAGAACCATCGGAGAAAATGGAATCTATATATTTTTGTGTATAGAAACTATAGAAAGCCAGATCTGCGATCTGCCGTCTTCTGGACAACAAAATCTTACGATCCCTCAGCGTAGTAGCCCCCCCCCCCCCCATAAGGGAGGTAGCATTAGTTGAGTTATTATTACAGTAGTCTATTGCAATCTAATGGTACCTTTCTTATGAGGGGGCTACTACGATGGGGGATCGTGAGATTTTGACGTCAAGAAAACGGCGGATCTGGCCTTCTGTACATAAAGAGATATATTCTACATTTTCTAGAACCATGTCCACCAAAGGAAAAATGATTCTTTCCAAGCACTTACCCTTAACAGCAATATTGCACGTTGTTTCCCCTTGGTTGACAAAAGATCGCTTTACATCTGCAGGGCGTACCAGATCTAAATCCACCTCCATCTCTGGTCACCCAAGGGGAAACAACGTGCGATGTGGCTATTAAGGGCAAATGCCTGGATAGAATCACTTACCCTTGAGCAGATTATCGTAAATCATTAAGATTTTGAAACATAAAATATATACAAATACCAACATAAATAGTGAATGTATATTTGCAACAAAATAAGTTTAGGTGGGAATATTGAAAATTTACGTCTATTCCACGTAAAAAATTTATCTAAAGTCCGACATAAAAAATCCACATGAAATTCTAAGTAGAAAATCAATGTAGGTGGCCTAATCAAACATTGTGTAGATTTCCATGCATAAAACCCATGCAATATCAAATAAATAAAAATCCCTGAATTTTTCTACCAAAAATTTATAAAAACATTTCTACGTGAAAAATCCATGTCAATTTCCATATAAATAATTCATATTCAATTCCATATGGAAATTCCACATAGATTTCCACGTAAAATCCATGTAAATCCATGAAAGATCCACATGAAATCTATATGGAAGTCTACATGGAACATAAACGTGGAAATCCACACGGACCCTTTAGATGGGGCTATGCAACTAAATTAACTTGAATTAAAAAAAAAAATTTTCACAGAACTATTACTTTATATACATTCAATATTTAAAAATAGTTCTTTAAAAAACTTACCTGATAAACACACTACCGCCATCAGACGGCAAAAGCAAGCCCATACTATTCTAAGCATTAATGCGTAAATAGAGCACCCGTCCGTTAACCGGCTGGTTCTTGGTAACAATGCTCGTAAAATGATTTGTAACATTTTTTACCATTGTACCCACGCCTTCAAATTTAAGGTAAACAAAATATGAGAGGGGAAGGTGACAAAATGATGTTTTTTGTTTGTTAACCAAACTAAACAATGTTTAACATAAAGGGTATCCCTGAAATAAGCTACCAAAATTTTGCCAGCCGAAACATACTAAGGGATTTCGAACTATAAATTAATAAAAGAAAAAAAAAAATTTCTCTTGCTAACCGCTTGAAAATTTGAGAGATTGTTAACTGCTACTTCTTTTTTAATTTTAGGGATTGTTAATTATCGTTTCCTTATTACCTTATTTTATGCTTCAAATCTTTCCAATTTTGTGCAACATTAAAATAGATTATAGATGCACTGACTACGTTGTTGACAGCTGAGCTGGCTTTCTTCCAGATATCACTTGATTTAGAGAGTATTCTACCGTGATCATCATAAATGATTTTATCATGCAAAATTTGAAAAAACTCTTCAACACTAACAGCAGAATTTCGAGGCATTTTCGCAGATTTCCAGAATCAAATTAAACCTTGTAAAAGTAACTTGATGCGTATTTAACTCTAAGGAGATTTTAAACTGAATGAAACATTGTAACATGCAACTTTAACTAATAAAATAGTTCCAGTTATAAAATATAAATATATAAAATTTGTTTTTGTCAAAAAACAGCTAAGATTCCTATACGACAGTTATACATATTCCAACTTCGCCAACGAATCTGTATAAGACGAGCACATATGGAAAGCTATACAAGTGCGTTTGGTAAAAAAATCTTACGTGAGCTGCATTTGTTGATAAAGTGTAAACAAAACACTCATTTTTATCTATTAACGTCAATTTACAAATAACTGAATTCCCCATGTAAATTCAAAGCTCCATCAATACATCTGAAAATAAGAAGTTACTTGAGTTGATTTAACAACTTGGGTAAAATGAAAAAAATGCTTTGTAGTACTGCGTATGTATTACCTCAAACCGTGTCCTTGGTTACAACAACAATAATTGCATCATGCTCTTTAGCAATGACTTTTTTTCTCAAACAACAGAAATGACACTAAAATGGAAAAGTATAAGAATGAAGTACAGCAATAAAAAATAGCAAGCATGTCTGATATTCTCATTGACAGTATACTAACTTTGGTAACTTGTCACATTCTATATTTGAGTCCATAAAAAAGAAATATACAGCTGGACAAGACATACTTTTGAAATCAAAGTTTCAAGTATGCCAGCTTAGCCAGCTGTTTCACACGATGCCTTACCAAACTTGAAATGTCTATTATTCTTGTTTCCGTTCATTGGTTGACTTATTTTCTTTCAATTTTTTGTGTGAAAAAAAAAATCAGAGTATGTTTATAATAACTTAACCTCATTTACTGATACAACACATATTTTGTTTTTATTTTTTGTTCAGCACAGCAGCAGTAACGTTACTGCAACAATAAAAAAAAGTACTCAAGCATTGACATTTTTTAATTTAAGTAAACTAGAGTCCACCGAAAAGGTAAATTAGAAAGGATGCTGCCTTCAGAAATTTGCTTTGAACCACCAAATGCCAAGCTGATTACTTGTATCCATATGAATATATACCTATATAGTCCCGTTAATAAATTTATCATAATAAATAATACTTATACAAAATTTGTCTATTAGATCACATAGTTTTTATTTAGAATCCGCTTGTAAAGAAAGAACGATTCATTGTTTTTCTCCCTTTTTGTTGTGTAAATTTTTTTTATGATTTTACTGACTTTACAATTTTACTTTTGGCGCCTGAACAAAGGGAACGGAACTGGAACATACGAAACAGGGGACCGGTTGATATACGTTTTCATTAAATAATAAAATCATTATTTCCGATGTTTATAACATTAATCTCAACAAACGTTAACATTTTCTAAATCCGCAAGTGAGGAGGAATCGAATGATGTGGGTAACATTTATTTTCAGCATTATTTACTACTTGTAATAATAGATTTCATCTCCTAGCGCCGCGCCCATTTTCGACTTTTTATTTTGCAAATATCTCGCAAACTATTGATCCGCGAATAAAAATTCAAGTGGAGGATAAATCCGCAAGTGAGGAGGAATCGTTTAAGCCTTGAATGGTTGCAAAATACCAATATTTAATATTTACGGGCGCCAGCTTCACAAGTCTGCTCTTACCACATTTAGGCGCAAAGGCCCTAAAATACAAAAGAGATGAAATCACGAAATACCTGCATTACACATTTAACAGAATGAAGAATGTAGGATCAAATTGAGTCATGATGCTGATGTAGCTACAGAGTAAAAAAAACCGAAGGTGGTTTTTAATCATCGAGTGTTAATACCAAAAATCAAATTACTCAATAGCAAAACAATAGTGCAACCAACATGATTTAATCTGTTCATGTTTTGGGGATGCCTCCATGATGAATTAACAATCTGGTGTTTAGTTTTAATCCACGACACGACTTGTAGGGTAGAAAGAGCAATGATCAATTTGCGGAAATTAATAGGTAACCAACTATATCATTAGCCTTGTATTTGTGCGGTGTGTATGTGTTTAAGTGTACTATCATAAGCTACTTTTTATACTATCAGACATTTCACTCTTTGCTTATTGTAATTAAACATTTAAATGTAATTTACTTACCTGTTGCAAAATAAAAAAGCTGCTAGAATGTGTTTGCATTTTTTACGTCATATTCAGCCTTGCAAGTAGATATCATGTGAAATTGACCACTTTCATTGATTTCTCCAACAATTTTGAAAGGCTCATTTATAATATTGCGGAACTTGCACATTTCGTAGATTGTTAAATACATATTTTTGTTCACTAAAAAATATAATATGTATTTTTTAAAATTAACTACACAGTCCCTATGAAGTGTATACTGCACAAATGTTAACATTACAAAATTTGGCGGATGTGCACTTTAGGACACCCTTTGAGAAGTTAGCAGAGATTAGTAGAGAGATTGCTGACTGCAATGCTACGGCGCGAGTTCACTTTTGGCCACTGTTTCGAGCGCCCCGTCGCGGCCAAGCGGTCGAACCAGGCACACATATTTTTTTTTTTATTTGAGAAGCGTGGAGGGGGTATACCGAGTGTGTGCCTACAGATTCGCGTGGAAATGGGCATGTAGGCACATACTTCGGAGACGCGTGGAAGGGGTATACTGAATATGTGCCTACGGAGAGAGGAGTGGTGTGCATGGAAATGCCGACTACAGCTATATAACTATATATACCCGCGTATATCATAGCGAAAGAAAGCAACGAGTCTTTCTCGCTATATACTTATACTTACTAACTTCTTAAATAAGGTCTTAGAAATTAAGGGGAAATAGAGAAGAAAAAAAGATTTCACATCTAATATTTGTAAAATAAAAAAACCTATTTTAATTTACAATTCTCTATAACATATGAAAGTTTAAGAGAGGCTAGCCATATTATTTTTCGAAAATTAAATCATACAAATAAATGTTTACGCAATTGGAACCTCAGACTTTCAAGGCATTTATTTTTTAGTTCTTCTTATACTTTGGATTTTCGTTTAGTACTGCGTATCAAAGTACGTTGAAAAAATATTTAGCTTGAAATATTTTTTGAGGTTGATAGTATGGCTATAAGCACCTTAAATATAAATTATTATTTTTACTTATCATAATCGCTATGAACTGTAGGCCAAGCTCCGGAGGGTATCAATGAACATATGTGACTTTAGGTTCTATGAGGTCCGAAGTTTGAATAGCTGAGATGACTAGGGCTTATGCCTTTGACGGCATATTTTGGCGATTTGGGGTTCAATTCTGATTGCCATGAGATTTTTTTTTTTTTTTTAATATAATTCAGTATTCTATTTCAATTTCTTATTGCAACTTTCATTTTAATTTATGAATATTGTCTCAACACTTTTTTTTTCGGGCACGTTAAAAAAATTTTATTTTTAATACTGTGTCACGTACATAGAATCCTACGCAACAACTGACTATTAAATAATTTATTACGTTAATAGTTATAGCCGGCAAGGCTAATTCATAATTTTAAAGGTAATAATTTGAATGATAGTAACATTGATAACTAACTAAATACTTGGTAGATCATAAAAAATCTTTTGTGCGTATTCGTATGCTTGCATGTGTGTGATCTCAGAATTTTTGACCGATGTCAATGATTCAGGACTCAGCAGGATTACTTTTTCATATTGTTACGATGGCTTGGGAAAAACAATCGTCATAGCTTTTTAAGGTTGTCATACCTCTTGACGATTTCTTGATTTTTTTAAACAGTTTGTTGTATTATTCAGGTGAAAAAAATATTCTTATACATATTTTAGTTTTACTTAGGGAAAATTCAAACAATTACATTTTTTTTAATCTCTCCATATATTATACAGTTTCATTTTGAACAATAAAACAATTTTTTTTCTTTCGATTGATGCATTCAAGATTAGTATTTCAATAAGATTGATAGAACAATTCCCTAATTTGTAATTTTAATTAAATTCTTAACAAGGTCTTATTTCATACAGTACGAAAAAACCACATTTTCTATTTTCGCACACTCCATAAGAGTTTTTTTTATAGGATAATTTTACTTTAATGTGATAAATATTATGATTTCATTGACAGGTTTTACACATCTGAGCTTGTAATTTATATATGTACATTTTAATACTTACTGTAGCTAAAAAAAATAAATTTAGTTTGGTTTGTTCTTAAATATCTTATACGATTGTTTCATTACAAAAAACTTTAGATTGCAATAAATTACTAAAACTTTTAATTTGCTACTCAACGTAATTTAATATTGTTGAATAAATTTCTACCTGCAGAGAAAATACTGAAACATTTAACGATAGCAAGGCTCATTCATAATTTTATGATACCAAACAAATGATTTTTAAGGTTATGAATGAAATTTAAATGGTTTCAAACTTCCCAAAAATGATAAACATCCAGTTTACAACGTATTTTTTTACGCTGAAAACTGGAAAAATTATTAAAAATTTTTAAAATAATTGGATCAATGTGAAAATCGCGTCCGAAGGTTATTTCACTCCTATTTCTTTAACGGTAACAGATACGACAAAAATAAACATACCAGCGTGTAGGGCGGAAAATTTCCTATCGATTGGATCAATGTGAAAATCGCGTCCGAAGGTTATTTCACTCCTATTTCTTTAACGGTAACAGATACGACAAAAATAAACATACCAGCGTGTAGGGCGGAAAATTTCCTATCGATTTGATCCATTTTGTATCTTCAGACAAGCGCAAAATTATTCTTAAAAAAATTGATTACGCGTTTTCAACACTTACTGTAAGAGTAAGTGAAAAGGAGAGAGCGGCGGTGGTGCGCCAGCCACAATGAGCTGTAAGCTACGAGCAGTGTTGGGTAAAGAGGATATGATTTTGCATTTTTGTCACTAGGACCTATATATAGCTACAGATCCTAGTGAGAAAAATGCAAAAGATGAACAGGAGGAGAGAGGGAGCCAGTGGTTCTCCCCAAATGTGACTGGCAAACTTGCGGGAAATTCAAATTGGCTAAATGGAGCAAGATGCAAATCCCCAGATAACTCGACACAATTTCATGCATAATAACTTAATAAACTAATCTCAAGCTATTCAACCCAATAACCCAATGGGCCAATAAGCAGCCTCATGAGTTTGAATAAATGATTAAATTTATTTATTAACAAAGCAAGCGCCAATCCCCACACGACCCGGGACGCTTACTGGTTGCTTTAGATAAGGATAAAATAAAATAATAACGCAAGCACCTATCCCCACACAACCAGGGGCGCTTACGGGCCGCTTTGATTATTAACTAAATAAATAGAATAACACAAGTGCCAATGCCCGCACGACCCGGGGCGCTTACTGGATGTTTTAATTATTCTTAAAATAAAATAATAACACAAGCGCCAATCACCACACAACCCGGAGCGCTTACTGGTCGCTTTGTAAATTAATATAATGAATAAAATAACACTTGTGCCAATCACCACACAACCCAGTGCGTTTACGGGCCGCTTTGTTGATTAATATAATGAACTCAAAGTTAGTAAGCACTCCGGGTTGTACGGGCATTGGCGCTTGTTATTTTAAATATTTAATTAATTAACAAAGCGACCAGTAAGTGCCCCAGGTTGTTTGGTAATTGGCGCTTTTGTTATTATTTAAAGCATTAAATTTTAAAGTGTCCAGTAAGCGCTTCAGGTTAAATGGTGATTGATACTTGTGTTATTTTATTTATTTTATTAATTAACAAAGCGACCAGTAAGCGCCCCGGGTTGTGTGGTGATTAGCGCTTGTGTTATTATTTTAGATAGTATGGCTATAAGCACCTTAAATATTAATTATTATTTTTACTTATCATAATCGCTAGGAACTGTAGGCCAAGCTCCGGAGGGTATCAATAAACATATGTGACTTCGGGTTGTATGAGATCCGAAGTTTGAATAGCTGAGATGGCAAGGGCTTATGCCTTCGTTGACATATTTTGGCAATTTGGGGTTCAATTCTGATTGCCATTAGATTTTTTTTTAATATAACTCAGTATTCTATTTCAATTTCTTATTACAACTTTTATTTTAATTTATGAATATTGTCAACACTTTTTTTTCGGGCACGTTAAAAAAATTTTATTTTTAATACTGTGTCACGTACATAGAATCCTACGCAACAACTGACTATTAAATAATTTATTACGTTAATAGTTATAGCCGGCAAGGCTAATTCATAATTTTAAAGGTAATAATTTGAATGATAGTAACATTGATAACTAACTAAATACTTGGTAGATCATA